AATAATATATTATTTAACTATTCAAATAGTAACTAAAACAAAGAATAACAGTAAACGAAGCTGGGACTTTGGATCAAGGGATGTGATAATATTTTTAAAATGAAAATAGAGGGAAATTTGTCATTTAAAGCTGGATAAAAATGACAATGCATTTATAAGTAATAGACTATACTTTTGATATTTTAGGAGGTAGTTTGATTCTTTAATATTCATGAAAGTGACACAGGAAAATTCACAGGCCACAATCATTAAAGCCTGAAAATGATTTTTCCTCCTCTATCAATCAATTTGTTTCCATATTATCTAGATATTTATCTCACCAATGATTTCATAGCATTAGTTAGACAAAGGCAATTTGACAACTGAATAAATAATTGATATTGTTTCCTATTAGAAGTGGAAGGAATTGATAAACTCAAAAATATCAAAGCTTTAGTTTGGGTCCAAAAAATTGGGTTAATACATGGTCAAGGAAAAGAAATTCAAAATTAAATTAGGAAGAAGGGGTAAAGGTTACAATATATTGGAATCTCATATCAATCGGAATGAGGGAGGAAAGTAAGAAACTTTATAACGAATAACATAAGTTCATATGGTACGTACAGTTTTTGGGCAATGTGGATAATACGTGATTTTCAATTGGGCTATGACAAATATAATATTAATAGAACATTCCCTATGAATGATATTACCTTAGTTAGGTAGTAGGACAAACCTCACCTACAATTTTCTGAAGAAGGAGTATAGTCGTAAGGCGTGTTTTGCCAAAACAAACAATATATGTCGCGTGTGCTTGAGCTGTGACAATAAAGGCAATAATGTTCTCCATAGGTATTGCAACAGTATTAGAGCTTATGCTTCTATATGCATTTGATTGGAAATTAACTTTTGTGATAAATATAACAGACATTTTACTTGAAATTATTACGCATAAGAAAAATGCTCTTCTTTTCATTTTTCCGCGATTCTTTTGGAACTAGAAGAGAGATTTTATTGAAACAACTACTCCATTACAAGTTTATAACAAAAAGTGACAGACATAAAACCATACGACCATATTAAACATGGATAACTAACAAAGTTATACATACATATTTAACTAATTTAAACACTGGAGTTTGGTCTTGTTCAATTTCTAGTGATAATTTCTAGGAACAAGGCACAACGGTTTTTTCTTATGTGGTATGATTCCAGGCAAAACATCAGTGTCTATGTCTTCTATTTTCATCCCACGAGGCAACTCCCAATCAAAAGTGTAAAGAAGATTGGAAAGTACAAGTTCCACATTTGCCACACCAAGTGCTGTACCTGGGCACCCTCTTCTACCTGCTCCAAATGGAATCAACTCAAAATCTTGTCCCTTAAAATCAATATCATTATTGAAGAACCTCTCAGGTATAAATTCTTCTGGATTTTTCCATATTTCAGGATCCCTTCCAATTGCCCAAGCATTAACATAAACTATAGTTTTTGGTTTAATTTCATATCCTTCGAGTATGGAAATTTGCATCGTCTCTCTTGCTACTAATAATGGAACTGCTGGATACAATCTAAATGTCTCTTTTATCACTGCTTTAAAATATGGAAGATTTTGGACATTATCTTCATTGACTTAGGACTTTTCCCCAACCGATTCTCTAATTTCTGCTTGAACTTTCTTCATGGCATTCGGGTTTGCTATCAAGGCCGTCATTGCCCAAATTATTGTAGCTGCGCTAGTGTCCGTTCCAGCAACAAGCATATTCTACTAGAGAAAATGGGAGGATCAAAACTTAGCCACAAACTATATTTTCATGTATTCAAAACTTTATATTTCTCATTTGATCTATATTAAAATATTTTTCAAATCAAGTATCATAAAATGTTATGATATGTGTAATGCCACAAATTTAAAGGCATTTTTTAATATTTGATAAAAATCTTTCTTTGTATTATAATCATGCCACAAACATAGCCATGGAAAAAACTTAGCCACATGAAACAATATTAACACCAAGCCAATGAAAGGTTAACTGTTTAGCTAGGTGTAAGCAGTCGATGTAAGCAAGTAATTTATCAGTACCGTCATATAAAATAGATACAAATGGAGTAGTTCGTTACCATGATTATACCCTTTATGTTGTCCAATGTAAGATCGATTGGAGTTGATTTCTCTTTCGTCAATTGTAGCAGAAGATCAATAATATCCCCTTCCATGGATTTTGGCCTATTGGGATTGAAATGTTGCTCAATGAGTCCTTCATAAAACTCATCCAAATCCTTAAAATTCTTCTCGAGTTTATTTATTTTTCCGGAGAGTTTATCAATCCATCCTAAGAGAGGAAAATAATCAGAGACAAAAAAGCCTGCCAACATTTCTTCAGTCACTTTTAAAAGTTCATTAAAATTCTTCCTTTCGTGTGTTTCTTCATCATACCTAATACCAAAAGCGACTCTACAAATAATTGTAGTCGTTAGTGAAATCAATATACTACTCAAATTAGTAATTCGGGAAGTTACAGCTTGTTGAGATATTTCCTTGATCATTCTTGATACTTCATCTTCACGAATTGGAATAAAAGATTGTACTTTTTTTAGACTAAATAAATGACCAACACATATTTTTCGAAGCTCTTTCCAGTGGTCATTGTAAGGTGACGTGGCAATATCTTGATTATTGTAAGATAATTTTTGCTGGCCCAAAATAGAAGGTCTACTGCAAAATGCTAAATCTTGTGTTTTCATTACTTCTTTTGCTAATTTTGCTGAAGAAACTACAATTATTGGAGTAGAACCAAGTTTCAATAAGAATATATTTCCATATTTCTTAGAAAGTTTCCAAAAATAGATATGAGGGGTTAAACCATCAAACTGATGCAAATTTCCAATGAATGGTAACCTTAAAGGACCCGGTGGCAGGATGTTTTTTTCATTCTTTTTTACTTTTGGAAGAAGAAAACTGAGAATAATGATGATAACAAGGGCTACAAAGAATGGAAAGAACATATTGTTTTTTTATTTTTGGCAATATTAAAATTTTGTACTGCAAAGTCACTTGATGTCTTGTATTAAAATTTTATGCTGTTTCTTTCATTTATACTAATTAACAAGTAAGGGCTTTTTTGGCACGAAGGATAATGGTTTTTCATGGAAAATACTATACTTCTCATATTTTGTCTTCTTGTATTATTTCATTATTATTATTGAGATGGATACAAAAAAGATTTATGAATTATTTTTTTTAATAATCTCAAATTAAATTTACATAAATTCATAAATGACACTCTACTATATATAGCAAGATCCACCCCCATCTATCACTTAATCATCTTTACACAACTTGTTAATTTCCCTCTCAAATCTCTGAAAATCACTTAATTTTTTTCAATTGCAACAAGAAATCTCCAAAACATTAATTCAAAATTGATACCTACCTGGCATATATATATAAGTCATGAAAATGAGTTTTATAGCATGTGTCAATATAGACAATGGGGACCAGTGGTAAATGCAGCTAGCCAACGGGTTCATCCGAATCTAGTTATAATTTGTACAAGGCATATTTTAATATGTAAAAATTCACTATAATAAAATAGTAAATTTAAATTCATCATTTTTAAAGTCAAATATCTATAAGAGATCAATTTACTGAGAAATATTTTGTGTGCTTGAGCTGGGATAATAAAGGCAATGGTCTCTGCAGACAATGCACTTGGTGTTGCAATTGTGGAGTGTATACTTCTATAGAGTCTAGAGCCAAAAGGGTAAAAAAAATTGACCAAAAATTACAAAAGGAAAACAAAAATAAGTTTGAAATCAAAAGGGCAACATTTAAACGATAGGTTGGAAATCGTTTAAATTAGGGTAGCAAGGCACGGGCACCTATGCGCCTTAGAAGGCGCAAGCAGACAAAGCAAGTCTGTCTGCGCCTTGTAAGGCCATAGGCCCCACGCCTTTGTCCTTACATGATTTTTTTTAAAAAAAAAACTCTTTTTACATGCATTTTTTATATTTTTAGTTGACCATTAGGATAGAAGAGGTTTGGTTTTTGTCCTTCTCCTATGAATTTTTTTGCTATTTTAGAATATACGAGGTAAGGATTAATGCCAACCTTTTTCCTTAAAACCTCCTTCCCACCATGGCTCCATGAGGGTTTATAAAAGTCTTAAGGATAAGAATTTTATTTTTTTTAAATATATAATATTGTTTTGCACAAAGTTAATTATTAGTGAAAGGAAGATGTTTACCACTTATTAATTAAGTGATTAATAGGCGAACTCAAAATTTAAAATTTATGAATTATTTTTTTAATAATCTTCAAGTTAAATTCATGTAAATTTATATACAACGCTCTAGTTATAACTAGTTAGATCCACCCCCACCTATCAGTTAATCAACTTTTACACAACTTGTTAATTTCTACATGTACTTAATTACCATGATGTAAATTGATACCTACATGGCATATAAGTCGTGAAAATGAATTTTATAACATGTGTTAGTATAGACAATGAGGATCAATGGCAGATGCAACTAGCCCTCATTCGAATCCAGTTTTTTTTTGTGAGGCATATCTTAATATGTGAAAATTCACTAAAATTAAAATATTAAATTTGTACTTCTAATTTTTAAATTTAATTTTTAAAAAAAAATTAAAATCAAATTCATCAAGTTTAATTTTGAATCCACAGTCGTATCAAGAGATAAGAGGATTATTGATTCTGATTATTAATGCATCTTGTAATTGCTACACGACATGTTTCACAAACTAAAGGGTCGTTTGGATGGTTTAAATAGAACTCTTAAAATATGGTTCTTTGATTGCTGCTTTTATTTTATTTATAAATAATACCTTATTATGTTGGATGGAAATTTATATAATTGAACATATGAAATAACAAAGAAAAAAATATTTGTGAAAATGTTTTCCCCTCTTCAACTACTCCATTACAAGTTTAAAACGAAAAATAACAGTCATAAAACCATATGACCATATTAAACATGGATAACTAGCGAAATCATACATACATATTTAAATAATTTAAACATTGGAGTTTGATCTTGTTTAATTTCTAGAGATAATTTTGAGGAACAAGGCACAAAGGTTTTTTCTTATGCATAGTAAGTCCTGGCAGAACATTAGTGTCAATGTCTTCTCTTTTCATTCCACAAGGCAACTCCCAATCAAAAGCGTAAAGGAGATTAGAAAGTACAAGTTCCACATTTGCCACACCGAGTGCCATAGCTGGGCACCCTCTTCTGCCTGCTCCAAATGGAATCAACTCAAAATTTTGGCCCTTAAAATCAATATAATCAATATCACTATTCAGAAACCTCTCAGGTATAAATTCTTCTGGATTTTCCCATATTTCAGGATCTCTTGCAATTGCCCAAGCGTTAACATAAATTATAGTTTTTGGTTTAATTTCATATCCTTCTAGTATGGAATTTTTCATTGTCTCTCTTGGTACTAACAATGGAGCCGGTGGATACAATCTAAGTGTCTCTTTTATCACTGCTTTGAAATATGGAAGAGTTTGGACATCATCCTCATTCACTATGGACTTTTTCCCAACTGATTCTCTAATTTCTGCTTGAACTTTCTTCATGGCATTTGGGTTCGCTATCAAGGCTGTCATTGCCCAAATTATTGTAGCTGCACTAGTGTTCGTTCCACCAACTAGCATATTCTACAAGATAAATTAAGAGGATAAAAACATTGCCACAAAATATATCTTCATGTATTCGAAAACTTTGAATTTCTCATTTTATCTTTATTCAAATATTTTTCTAATCAAGCTATAACATGTGTAATGCCACAAACTTAAAATCATCTTTTTAATATTTGACAAAAATCTTTCTTTATATTATGATCGTGACCATGAAAAATACTTAGCAACATGATCGAGTATTAACACCAAACCAATGAAAGATTAATTGTTTAGGTAGGTGTAAGCAACTGACATGCATGTATTTACCAGCACCACCATATATAAAATGGAGTAGTTCATTACCATAATGATAGCCTTTATGTTGTCCAAAGTAAGATCGATTGGAGTTGACTTCTCTTTCTTCAATTGGAGTAAAAGATCAATAATATCTCCTTCTTCCATGGATTTTGGCCTATTGGGACTAAGATGCTGCTCAATGAGTCCTTCATAAAACTCATCCAAATCCTTAAAATTCTTCTCAAGTATATTTATTTTTTTGGAGAGATTATCGATCCATCCTAAGAGAGGGAAAAAATCAGAGACAAAAAAGCTTACCAACATTTCTTCAGTCACTTTTAAAAGTTCATTACAATTCCTCCTTTCATGTGTTTCTTCATCATACCTAATACCAAAAGCAACTCTACAAATAATTGTAGTCGTTAGTGAAATCAATATACTACTCAAATTGGTAATTCGGGAAGTGACAGCTTGTTGAGATATTTCCTTGATCATTCTTGATACTTCATCTTCACGAATTGGGATAAAAGATTGTACTCTTTTTGGACTAAATAAATGACCAACACATATTTTTCTAAGTTCTTTCCAATTGTCATTGTAAGGTGACGCGGCAATATCTTGAGCATTGTAAGAATATTTTTGCTGGCAGAGAGTAGAAGGTCTACTACAAAATGCTAAATCTTGTGTTTTCATTACTTCTTTTGCTAATTTTGCTGAAGAAATTACAACTACTGGAGTAGAACCAAATTTCAATGAGAATATTTTCCCATATTTCTTGGAAAGTTTCCAAAAATAGAGATGAGGGGTTAAACCATCAAATTGATGCAAATTTCCAATAAATGGCAACCCTAAAGGTCCTGGTGGTAGAATGTTATTTCCATTCCTTTTGGCTTTAGCAAGAAGGAAACTGAGAATAATGAAGATAACAAGGGCTAAAAAGAGTGGAAACAACATTTGTTTCTTTATGGCAAAGTCACTTGAAATGTCTTGTAATTTTCTATTGTTTCTTTTATTTATAATTAAAAAGTAAGGGTGTGTTTGGTACAAAAGAAAATATTTTTTTATGGTAAATGCATTTTTGAAACCTGTTTTTGGAGTTTTGTATATAATTTTGACAAATACTATGAGAGGTGGAGGTGAAGGGAGTATCGGTGTGGGGTGATGAGGTGTGTTGAGGTGGCAGATGACATAATCACTGTGGAATTTCACTAGTGAAATATGTTCTTCCTACTTTCACTAAGAAAGTTATTTTCCTCTTTTTAAAAAAACTTATTTTTTAGAGAAAATATTATTCAATTTTTTTGATTAACTGAATATGAAGATATTAAAAAACATTATTCATTTTTTTCCATATTAAACACACCCTGAAAGGAGCTGGGGGTTTGGATCAACAACTGCGATAATATTATTAAAAGAAAAATCATATAAATATAAAGAAAATGATAATTTAAAGAGAAAAAAGGACATTGGATTTGTACAGTTACGTACCCGTCATCAAATCTGTAGCTAATGATCTAGATCTGCCTCTGCTACCATTTTTAGAAAAATAATAGACTTATTTAGTTGACCATTAATTAGAATAGTTGAGAAGTTTGGTTTATGTCCTTAATTCTCCTATGATTTTTTTTGCTATTTTACATTATATACGAGCTATCTTAATGCCAGAATTCAAACACTTTAATTTATGCAAATTTTATACTTCTCATATTTTTGCCTTCTTGTATTATTTCATTATTATTAAGGTGAATTCAAAATTCAAAATTTATGAATTTATATTTTAATGATATCAATAAATTCACCTAAATTCATAAATGACACTCTACTCGCTAGATCCACCCCCACCTATCAATTAATCATATTTTACACAACTTGTTAATTTCTCTATCCAACCTCTGAAAACCACTTAAGTTCTTTCAATTGCAACAAGAAATCTCCAAAAATAATTTTTAAAAATTAAGGTACTTAATTACATTGATGTAAACTGATACCTACCTGGTATGTAAGTCATGAAAATGAGTTTTATACCGCATGAGGATTAGTGGCTCAATTTACCAAAGGATTCATCTGAATCCAGATATATTTTTTACGAGGCATATCTTCATAGGTAAAAATTCACTAAAATTATAATAGTAAATTTAAATTCATAATTTTTAAAGGATTTATGATAATAAATACATCGTGTTGCTAGACGATGTTGTTTGCAACAAATTTTACAGTGATAGAAAAATAAATCAACCACTATGAAGAAACATGAATAGTTTATTAATAAATGATGCAGGTACAATTCTGTTCTACTCTCCTAAGATTTATCCAAGATTCGAGGGTCATTAGTGACGTATATCCCAAATTAGAATGATTTGGATTTGATCTCTTCATGAATATTCCATGAATTTGAGGAATATTTGATATGCCTTTTTAAGGGAATATAGTGCCCTTTATATAGGCATGAAATAAGGTCTAGGGTTAAATAGCCTCTAAGAATCCTAATTGGAATTGAATACACTTTGTAGAGTCTATACTCGAATTGAACACATCTTGTAGAGTTGTACAAAATTTCAATGTCTACAAATGTCCATGCTTCAAGGTTTGTCGGAGTGTAGACTTGATGAAACTCAAAGACGAGACTTGAACTCATTCTTCTACCTTTGCGGTTTTGTGACTTCAGATTTGCAGATTTGATTTGTGAGAGAAGAGATGAAAAGCAGATTTGGTCCCACTGGGCGTGACAATTTATTTGCAAAAAATTTTAAAGTGATAGAAAATAAATTGCAATCACAAATAAAATATGAAGGAACATAATTTTATTGATCAAGATTGTGAGTACAATTTTGTCCTTCCTTTGATTCTTTCCTCATAAGATATTTATCCATGATTTGAGGGTCGTTTGTGAAGATGTGTTTCACAAATTAACAGGTCATTTGGATGGTTTAAATTAATATAAATAGAACTTTTAAATACGCATCTGATTGCCATTTTTATTTTGTTTATCAATAATACCTTATTAAGTTATGAAACTTCTATAATTTTATATGAGATATAATATGAAATAAGAATAAAAATATTATTGAGAATGTTTTCTCCCTTCCTACTAAGGTACGTATAACACACTCAGATAGTCACTGGGAATTGTTTAAAAAAACAAGTACTAAGGACTAAGGTACGTAATTGCCTTTTCCAATTTTGAATTAACTATCACGTTTACAGTATAGTTTTAGCTTTACCATCTTCTCATTTGTTGCTTCTTCCTTTTCAATTAATTTTATGTCATAAAAATATGATATATTTTTTCATCGAACCAGCATACTAAAATTAAAACGCACAGTGGAAATAGAATCATGTTGAAATATTGAGAAGCTTCCTAATAATTCCGTGTTAAAATACTAGTACTAATTTTTTCTTTTCTCGTGACTCAATTAAAATATTTATGAAAATAATCATTAAATACTTTTCAGTAGAAAATTTCAATGATAAAATAGTAACTTTTTTAGTAGCGAAAATGCAACAATTACTACCAGTAGCACAGATTTATTTATTTACGTAATATAAAGGTGTTCCTTCAAGAACTAGGTGGAGTGAGAAAGATAAATTCATAACTTAGAGTCGGTCGATAAGTTTAGCATGAGAATAACTTATTACATGCATGTATGTATTCTAAATATGTTTAGCTTGAGAATAATTTATTTTTTACATGATTTCAATTGATATCACAAAACTCGCCTTATATCCGTATTTGAATATAATCTAGAGATAATTTGTAGGTATAAGGCAAAGATCTATCTTCTTATGCATTACAATTCCTGGCCTAACAGTTGTATCAATGTCCTCTTTTCTCATGCTCCAAGGCAACTTCCAATCAGATGCATAAAGAAGATTTGACAATGCAAGTTCCACTATGGCAACCCCAAGTGTAATAGCTGGGCATCCTCTTCGTCCAGCTCCAAATGGAATTAACTCAAAGTTTTGTCCTTTAAAATCAATATCGTTATTTAGGAATCTCTCAGGAATAAACTCATTTGAATTCTCCCATATCTCGGGATCTCTTGCAATAGCCCAAAAGTTAACATAAATTGTGGTTCCTGACTCAATTTCATATTCTTCTAGTATAGACTTTTTCATTGATTCTCTTGGTAGTAGGAGTGGAGCTGATGGATATAATCGTAATGTCTCCTTTATTACTGCTTTAAGATAAGGCATGTTTTGGATGTCATCTTCATTTACAATGACTTTTTTTCCAATTGATTGTCTAATTTCCGCTTGAACTTTCTTCATGGCTCTTGGATTCCTCATTAAGGTTGTCATCGCCCATACTATTACAGCCGCACTTGTGTCTGATCCTGCTACTAACACGTCCTACAAAGAAATTGACACACAAAAAAGACATAAATTGTCAATTCATGAGAAAGTCTCAACAAGTATGGAGAAAATCATGTTGGGAGTACCACCCCGAATGAGCCTTGTAGTGCGTGATCCGGATTTAGTTGAGGCACCAATGTGGGCTCCGAACACCAGGTGGGAAACCAAAAAAAAAAAAAAAAAGACTCAAAGTACATGTACTAACATAAATATACAAGATTACCATGGCAAGTGCTTTTGCATCCTCCAAAGTGAGATCAATTGTAGTTGATTTCTCTTTCTTCAATTGAAGCAAAAGATCAAGAATGTCTCCTTCCATGGATTTTGGCCTCTTGGGATTGAGATGTTGCTCAATGAGTTCTTCATAAAAATTATCCAAGTTCTTGAAATTATTCTCAAGTCTATCTGTCAATCCAGTAAGTTTATCAATCCAACTTAAAGAAGGAAAAAAATCATAAACAAAGAAGCTTGCCATCATTGCTTGAGTCGCAATTAAAAGTTCATCAAATCTCCTCCTTTCATGTGCTTCTTCATCATACCTAATACCAAAAGCAACTCGACAAATAATGGTACTTGTTAGTGAATATAACATAGTGCTCAAGTTGGTGACTTGTGAAGTTGTAGCTTGTTGAGATATGTCATTGCATACTTAAACATCTTTAAGATTAAATTGTGATGTCATTCTCAAATATCACTACATTCAATTGAACAAAAAAATGTGTATAAAAGCAACTCAATAGAAGATCTATTTATAGGTTACATTTGAAGTTGCATTTGGCAGTGACACAACAAAACCATGATGTTCTTTATATTTTTAGTAGCTTTTCCTATTATTCTCATTTTTCTTTTTTTTCTTAACCGTGGTTTCCGGGTGTCGCTTTGCGAACCCGACTAGCTGTACCCACCGGGTCCCGCTGTTTCAAGGCGGGTGCACCAAAATAAGTAGAAATACCAATCTACCACCAGGTCCTTTAGATTTGCCAATCATTGGAAATTTGCATCAATATGATAGTGTAACTCCTCATATCTATTTTTGGAAACTTTCTAAAAAATATGGAAAAATCTTCTTATTGAAATTTGGTTCTACTCCAGTAGTTGTAATTTTTTCAGCAAAATTAGCAAAAGAAGTAATGAAGACACAAGATTTAGCATTTTGTAGTAGACCCTCTACTCTTTGCCAACAAAAATTGTCTTACAATAGTCATGACATAGTGTTTTCACCAATGACTATTGGAGAGAAATTAGAAAACTTTGCTTACTTCATTTATTTAGTCTCAAGAAAGTACAATCTTAGTTGTATGACAGAGTACTAATTCCTAGTCAATAAATATAACAATACACAAGACTTCCTTATATACAATTTTTAACATCTAACCAGGATTAATTGATAAGATTTTCACTTCAACTTGTTAATTCATTGGAAAAATTAACTATATAGCTAACAGCCGACAAGAGAAAATATATAAAATTGACACATAGAGTAGTTAAATAATTACCATGATAATAGCCTTTATGTTGTCCAAAGTAAGATCGATTGGAGTTGATTTTTCTTTCTTTAATTGGAGCAGAGGATCAATAATATCTCCTTCCATGGATTTTGG